CACACACACACACACAACCATCAGACAGTGGGAACAAGGTAGCTTGAGAGTATTCAATATCATGCTAGTTTGCAGAATGAAATATGACCTTGGGCAAGAGGAGAGGCCAAAACCTAGAAGAGAAGCTCTGAGTCTATAAAGCACACTGATTATATGAGCAACTAAAAAGATCTCTGTGGAGGCAAATAGCTAAAAAGACTAGGGATTTGATATTTGACAGTGTTTTCATGGATTCAACTTTAACTCTATGAAGATTAGTCTGCATCACCTCCATGGATCCTGTCTTATGATTGCGTATGAGTGGGGACCTCCTCTGAATGGTGATCGGCTCAGACAGCGGCACGGCGCGGTCGGTCTCATCTCGTGAGAGGTCCTCCAGGCTGCCGGGGTCCGTCTGTTTCTGCCCGTTCTGAGTGAGCAGAGAAAAAGAGAGAATAGAAATGCTGCTATCTGAGGGACACAAATGTGGCGAAAATGCTCAGATGTGATACTACCTGTCGTGCTACCTCTGCAGAAGCGGGCCTGAAGCCAAAACCGGTCGGTGCGTTCTCCTCCTCCTCAACGCCTTTGACACCAGGGCTGAAGTGAAGCTCTACGTGGAAGCGTTCCTCAGAGGAAATGTCCTTTAGGAAGAAAATGGAAATATTGCTTTGATACTTTCTCAAGCATGATGCCTGAAGTTGAATGATTCATTTTCTGATGTAAATGAAAATTACATTTTGCTTCAACACAAGCAGCCTTACAGGAACTCTGCTTGAATAAAATGAACTCTAAATTTAAATTTAAAAAAATATAACATAGAAGGGTACAACTCTGAGGAAGCATAGGATGATTACTTCTGGTACTTCAAGTTTTAAAAATCAGTTATATGGTCACATTTTGTTTGGTACAAATAAGGGTGTGTGATATGGCCAAAATCTTCTAGCACAATATATGAAAGTTTATATCACAGTAAAAGTATATATCACCATACAGACTGTAAATTCAATTAAAAAATGGGTTTACAATAGCCATACTTCGTCACATATGATCATCTTCTTCCAAAAACAACTTCCCACGTCTGTATTTACAATTTCACTCTCCTTCTCCGTGTTTTCCTGTCACTCTCTTCTCCTGCGGTGGTTATCAAACAAGCTTAGAGGGACATTACTGCCACCAACTGTTACTAAGTTGTAAGCAGTTCTGCTGCCCACGTTACCTTGAGAGGCAACTGGATTGGCCATGTGCCGAAGGAAGCTGTACATCCCAAAAAGAAATGATATAAAAAGGAAAAGCAACCCTACCTTATTGTTGTCCTCATACAGCATGATGACAATCTGAGTCATGTAGTTGAGTTCAGAGACAGCACTGAGGTAATCCATGGCACGCTTCCACTGCTGGTCCTTCTCCTCCTGTTGCAAACACACACAGAAAATCTCAGTTTCAACTTTTACCCCCCTCTGAGAAACATTTAAACTCTTGTAGGTTTGATGTTTGGTTGCTTACATCGAGCAAGCCTCCATAGCGGAAAATGCTGAGCAGGGAGTGGACGTGACTCTCACTGGTGAAATATAAACGTGTCCTGACATGGCGCCCAGGAGACATCACTCCGCGGGAGTACCTGCGAACAAGACACCACTGTTCTAGATGCTCCAAAATATTCTCAACAGCCAGTTCGAACACTCGGCATCATGCCTTCCCATCTGAACAGCCTTGTATTAAATCAAATGTACTCTTGATCCCAGACTCACAGAGGGTGCAGTTTGTTGACAGACTCATCCTCGTGGGTCCTCTGCAGGTCAAGCTGGATCTTTCTGACCAGTGGGAGGCAGTAGGCGTATGCTATGTCCAATTTCTCCACTTTATTTATGCCATATTCCTGCAAAAACAGTGGAAAATGTGCTAGATATACTCTACAACCACTGAAGTGGTAGTACCTAAACTCTGTGTGTTAATTCCTTTTTCACAGTATATTAAACCAGTTCATCTGTCTCAAAGACGTCTTAATAACAAGGTGATACCAGAGAAAATGTCAATGATATAGAAAATGAGGTTAAATTAGCAGCAAAACTTTATTTTAAGGTATAAAAGAACAGTTCAAATGTTTGTATATGTATGTATTTCAAGGCTATTGATTATTACATTTTTATGAATGTCTTGTTTTTGCCTTTTTAAACGTGAAGGACTTTGTCACAAAATCACTTTGATAGAAATAAGTAAATAAATAAAATGTCTTTAGAGTTTTATTTAGAATTGGCACACAAAAAGCTCAAGAAAATGTTTCTCTGCAGTAGTGCAGATGTAACACCCCCGTCCCTCCTACCCTCCAACTCCCTGCTTCCCCCTCTTCCTCTTTCTCTCTCTCTCACCTGTGGGATGACGACGTCAGCCAAAGCTCGCGACAGTCTGAACAGCTCCAGTGTGTCCTCCAGGCCCAGAGTAGCATTGTGGATGACGTCGTATTTCACACAGTCATAAATATCAGGTATTTTACTGATGTCGTAGCGGCCGTTTTTCATGCGGAAGTCTCTCTCAAGTTTGGACCACCGCTGCAACATCAACTCCAGGGTCTCACTGTGGTACAGCTGCAGGTCTGGTGAGGAGATTATTCACTGCATGTATTACTAGGGATGCACGATAATTATCGGCCAATTAAAATATCTGCAGATAATGGGAAATTTTTTTATTTTATTTTTTATAACTGTTGGTCTGAACCTGCTCAAGAGCTAACAGAGGATTTTGCTCACCAGCTGACTTGGGGTCCTCCATCCTTTTGCGGATCTGGGAGGTGAGGCTCTGAATGAGGGCATAGACCCGGTCACATGTGGCCACTGGGTTCTGGACTATCTTCATTGAATTAACCAAAGAGGCACTGCAGGTCGGGGCCAGCTGTCACACGTACACGAGCACCCAAAGAAAAAGCACTTTCATTAAAAAAACCAATCACACAGAACAAATGAATACTGACTACTTTCACATTACAAAAGACCTCCAAAGCCCAAGGCTGCTAGACTGCAAAAATCTGTGTGACTTTGTCATTTAATTTAACAGAGCAAAATGAAGGTATATAATTAATCTACAAACAGTTAGCTCAAGAAATGCAATCCTTTCTGCTTTCATTATGACAGGTTAGTAATCCTCTGAATGATCAAAGGAGAATATAGACACAGACAATGAGGTACTCAGATTAAAAGGTTGCCCCACGTCTCTACATATCAACCAGTCCAACAATTACTGTGGGAAACACTTGTCAAGAAACTACTTTAATCTGTAGGTTAAGTGTGAATGCATTACTATTTAAAGCTACAGTTTGGGAGGAGTAGCTGTAGTGGTAAGATATTAAATATGCATACAAACATGTACATACAACCACAAAACAGTAAGTAACAGTTATGAGTGCCTCAATGGTAGTTCACACACAAGTCTACAGATTTAACGGCGTTCCTCCCTCCCTCCTCAGGCCCTTACAGGGCAGACAAGTGTTTAGCTGAGGGTGTTTAACACAGTTAACTAATCACCCTGTCGAAGTCTTCGTCTGTGAAGTCCCTGTCCTTCTGCAGAATCTCGTGTAGTCGGGCCTTGACTCGGTGCTGGCAGCTGCTCAGCGAGTCGCTGTCGTTGTCCAGCAGCCCGTTCATGTTGGCGCTCTTCACCATCTGCACCAGGATGGGTGTCAGCTCACCTTCCAGAGCCAGCAAACCCTGCTCACACACAGACACAAACAAAATGAAGTGGTAATCTGTGATTCGTTTGTCTTCGATGTAGAGTGATAATTAGATAATTTGTTAACAGCATGGCCAATACTTCATACTTCTGACAAATGACAACTAGCATGAGTTTTACTGGGACACAAAATATCATGACAGTTTGTGACATGACTGATCCCGTTGACATTAACAGTCACTTCTACACTATATAAATATATTGTATCAAACACAGTTTACCAAATAATATCCTAAGTCAGGATTCGGTTATTACACATCAGCAGCTGACAGAACTGGATATTGCTCAGTAGTCTTTTCTCATCCAAAGAAACGGAAAGGCTGAAACTGAAAGTACTAGCTCATAGAAGGTTTATTTCCTTTTCAGAACACCTGCTTTTCTCTGTGAATGTCATTTGAGATTCTACAGGTGGCACTGTTTTCTCTCCATTCAACTAACATTTTAGCTTGTTTTATCTACTCATGTCTATGAATTCCAGACTCACACAGCTGTTGATATTTCTCTAAAGATAAAAATTCTGCATTTTCTGCATTATATACTGGAAAAAACAGCTTGGATATCATATATACGCCGATACAGTACCTTATCTGCGATAGGCCAATATTAGTCAATGGTGATCCAGAGCAATAGAAAATAAATGTTTATCTTGTATCAGATATTAGAATACTAGACTACTGCAAACCTTTGCGAAGGCTGCGGCCGTCATCTGCACCCTGCCTTCATCAGACGCATATATCTTCAGGTCATGTCTGTAGGTGCTGTGTAACCGCAGTAAACCACAGCCTGGAAAGCCAGCGTAGTCTCCTACAAGAACGCAGTGCCAACAACAACATTAGTGATTACATAAACTAGAGCTGCAACGATTAGTTATCAACAAATCAACAAATTATCTGATTTCAGCTTCTCAATTGTTAATATTTTCTGGTTTCTTTCACCCATGACAGTAAATGTATTATCTTTAGCTTGATAAAACAAGTCATTTATGGATGTCCGCTTGCCCTTTGGAAAACAGTGATCAACATTTTTCTGACATAAAAATAACAGCAGATTAAATCGATAATGAAAATAAATGTTAGTTGCAGTCCAAATACAGACACCTGGTTATAACTGACTGTGACTTGGGATCTTTTCTTTAATAAACTTTACTGTGTTGGCCCTGACTTTACACTTTGAACAAGAGCTAGCTGAACTCTTTGCACCCCAGCTGCCGCTCTGTGACCCATCTGCTACTGGACTAAAACATCCTGTGATTGTCTGCCTTGCTGTAATGAGGAATGTCACTTTCCTTGTCCAAGTTTTCTTTGTTTACCTCCTCATCCTGACGTCTAATGTTCGCTGGTAAAAAGCCTAAACAACCTTTATGACTTAGAAGAACAATGCATGTTTTTTTTAAACTTTTAAATCCTCATATCACTGCAGTATCTTATTTCCGTTGGTCAGACTCCCTTCTTTGATCTATAATCTCCATACCTACTGTCCTAAAGTGTTTCACCAGATGTATGTAAGTAAATAATGAGAACAGCAGAGAAAAAGAAGGAGAGACAGCAATATGGAGATAAGCTGTATTTGGGTAGCACAGCATTTAAAATGAAAACTTATTTTAGGATAGCTAATAAATTATCAGAAAATACTTTTATTACATACATAAATAATACATACAATAACGCATTAATATTTGTTTATGTGGCTGAAACACACAACTCAAATTGTATTTCTGACCCACTTTTCATGCCTCTCTTCCCACCTCTCGTTCTGACCTTATACGGATCAGTGGCTGCTCAGTGTGGTGGCACAATAAGCAATTCAAAGTCTTTCAAACATGAGGCCAAAGTCTCATACTGCAGTAACAAAAGCAGAGATGATGGTGGTTTGAATGTGGCTGTTTCTGTGCTGAATATATGTGTTGCTTTAACAGAACACCTTCTTAACCAACACTGATCACAGATATATGAAGTTTAGTTATTCAATACCAGCTGTGTACTAATCCTCAGGCAGCAGTGAAGGGTATTTTATGCCAGCTAGAGGAATTAAATACTACATGAAGTTTTTCAGGAGGAAACCGTGCTGTGTGTCTCACCTTGTCCTCCAGGGTACATACAGCGAAAGGCCCTTCCTAGCTCCTCAGCCTGTACTCTGCCAGCAGGAGTCAGCTCTCCTCCCCACTTCAGCACCAGCAACAGAGACGGACCTTCCTTACGTGTGTCTGAAACCGAACCCAGAACACCGCAGTCACTTCAGTATTTTGGCCAGCTTGAGTTTGGCAACATGCTACTTTGAATATGAGGAGGAGAAAATCTAAATATCTTCCTACCTTCTTCCTCACTTGAGGTTTTGGGCTGCCCATGGGGCAGGTAAGTTAGTTGCACTTTTCTGTTGATCCCCGAGAAGTGGCCATACCTTTTTTTAGCAAAAAAAAAATGAAAATCTGGAATAATTAAAAGCTCAAGCTATTTATGGATAAACATGCCTCTGATAACAAACTGGAGGACTGCCATTACTAATGATAAATGATGACTGCTATCAAGGGGGTGTTGACTAGTGCAGAAACAGGATCAGGATACACAGTTCCATGCTAGTAATCCGTTATCAAAATACAACGATCATATGTCATACTCAGCTGTGAAGATAAATATTGTAACTGTAGTGTTTTTAAGACTACTGAAGTTGTGCACAATAGCCTTAATTTGTCCTGGGGCTGTTTACAGGACAGGCACTGCAACCATAACAGCCAAGGCACAAGTACTCTTGGAGTTGTGTAAAGCAGATGGTGACCTTTCAAAAACAAATTTGTCATTAGCATAGGAGGAAGCCAAAGACAAACTTAAGAAAGACTGCCAAACCACTTTCAGGATATTCAACAGGAAGGTGAGCTTCAGAAAGTGAGGCTTAAAATTCTGTAATTCCTTTTTTCAGCTGCAGCACCAATGAGATCAGGGACTAATAAAGTGTTTAATAAAGTGACCCGGTTTACTTGTGACTCACATTTCTAGAACAGTCTTCAGCTGCTCCAATTTGGACTTCTTCTCTTCTATCTCGCAGTCGTTGTGCTGTCCTAGTTCTGCTAACAACTGCCGTGTGATGTCCAGCACCTCCTGTTGAGGTTCAGAGCAACAATCTGTCAGAGATCTCAATCACACATAGGCTGGGAGATGTCCGAGTTCAGTATTACAAGGTAAAACCTACACAAACGTGCCTTTGTCTGACTTATTGTTACCTGCAGTTGTTTCGGCTTCTTCAGCTTTAATTTCCCAGTTTTGTATCCTCCATATTTTTCAAATAGATCAAAGAACCTGGATGAGTCAAAGGCAAACTTTAAATGAATCACAAGTATTGAATGGGTCTTTGCAGTAAAAAAGGAAGGTACTAACAGAGACAACCTACATGGGGTTGCGAACTTCCATCTTCATCTTCTGTTTGGGCGTTCTGTCTCCATGGCGGATGACAGCGATGACACAACGTAGCTCCATCCTGAACAGCGCAAGAGTAAGTTAACATCAACAGTAACAATAAATGGACTCCTCTTTTCAACCAACACACTGTTATTTCACTCCTCCTTGCAACAGTGTACAACATTTAAAAATAGGTTATTATAGCCAGGTAAACTGTTGTGAGACTCTGACGGGCTGTTTCAGGGATTTGAATTACTTTGTAATTATTCTAATTTCAGACTCAAACTTCTAGAGACTGGTGTGTGGTAAGATATTACCTTATACAATAACCAGTACAAAGAGTTTACAGGTTACAGGCAGTTTAACTTGTGAACTAACTTCTGGTCAATAAAATAAAAATGAAATTAAAATATTCCTCATTTTTCTGTGGACCCCCTCCTGGAATCCCCACAAGGGCGTCCAGTCCACCCAGGCCCTATGTTAAGAACTACTGAATTAAGTACTTCAAGTCCACTTAATTACACTGCTTATCCTCATTTAAGTGGTTTACAGTACATGGCCTCAGTTTTTTAGACTGTGAAATTCCAGGTACAGCTGTGATCTCATTTAGGTAAAGCATGACAAGTTACACGATGATAATTAATGAACCATTCAAATGTATCTGTAGTACACTTTACACACCTCCACTGCAAACAAATTACTAAACTGACTGGCTGGGGGGAAGCATGGCTCAGGGAAGCGATCGTATAATAATAGCAAGGTTCCTGGTAAGAAACTGAACACCTAACTGTTACTGATGAGCAGGTTGGCATGGCAGCCTCTGCCATCAGTGCACGAATGGCATGGGTTGGAAAGCACTTTAAGTGGTTGGTAAAATAGAAGAGCGCTTTAAAAATGCAGTCCACTCACATGGTCCCTGATGTAGTGGGAACAATGGGGATGTCCTCTGCCTCGGTAGGGATGGACCAAGGAATCTGAAACTGAGGAGCCAGCTCACGCATCACGATGTTCCTGAAGGGCCATGATGAGACACACGTTCAATCAACAGATGTGAGAGAGAAATGTATCAAAGCAAACTCTGCAGGAAGTCATCCAGTGATTGAGGAATGACAAAAGTAAAAATGGTACCCGAGGATCTTGGCACAGTCGTCGTAGTACTTCATTGAGTTCTTCACGAAACTGAAACCGTTGACATCACACACATAAGAGTGTCCATTGGCTCGGAGAAGATCGAAGCCACACACAGTTTGCTGCAGTCAAGGGAGAGGAGGACACATTTCTTTCATGTCGAGATAGAGCAGTATCAGCAATGAACCTCCACAGCGAAGGTAAACTGGGACAAACCAGACTTTTGTCAAGACAATGTCTTTGTTTACCTTGAATGCTAGGCAGACCTTGCGGGCCACCAGTTTCTCCATGGCTGACAGCATGACGGGGTAGCGGACCTCCTTCCCCTCGCTGTCTCTCTCCACCTTCCCGTCCAGAGCGGGGGACTTCCGAGCCTCAGCATGAGCGTAGTCTGGCCCCACAGTGTACACCTGAGCTCACATGAAACACCCACAGTCATCAATCATTCTCTAAAAGTTGATCCTATAGGTTGAACTGGCAAACATAGCACAAAAATGACCATAGATGAGTTGTGAAGCGGGAGGGGCTGCTGCTTCCAAGCAAATCAGAGCGGAGCAAATTCAAAACACTTGATCGGTACATGTTACCATAGTTGCTGAATTCATTCAAAACAACCTAAAAATCAAAAGTGAATTGATTTTATTTTCCTTTTTCTCAGTGGTCTCTTAACAGTACACTTTAATTATTATTTAATTGGATGTTTCTTACTGCAATGCACCAATACTTGAACTGCAGGGTACTGAAGCAATAGCAGAGTTTCATGCCAGTCGAACAGGTCTAATTAGTGGGACCACAATCGGGGCACCAGAAATCCCTCCTCCCACTTTGCAAATCTATATATGCTAAAAAATCATTTATGGCCTTTTTAAGCATCTCATATTCCATTGGAGAATTGAGTCATTCGGTGGTTTCCTGTTAATAATCAATAGTCTATACTCTACCTTAACATCAGTGCCATCTGTTGGCATGAACTCCTCATAGATGTAAGAGCCCGTCTTCCTCACACTGCTCTCTGGCGAGTACACACTGCTCCGGCTCCCAATCTACACAAACCACACAGTGAGTGAAAAATGTTGTCACTGTAAAAACACTGCTGTCCAGTACATCTGTTCAACCGAGCACTCTGAATAGTCTCCAGAACATCCATCACAATCTGAGTTAAAGGCTGCAGCTCCATGTTTGACAACAATGTGCCTGATTTATGAGAAAACTCTTTCTCTGGCACAGCAACAGACTAATGTACCTTTACAAGAGAAGCCATTAAGCGGTGCAGGTTAATGCCTGGTGTCTTTTAGTCTCTCATTTGATTAACAGTGTCATTATTATGAAACAGATGAAAGGAAAAACATGCATTCAAAATGTCAAGACCAGCCCTGGGCTTGTAACACTTTTCCAAATATAACATGAGTGCTGTTGCTTCAGGCACAGAGTGCACTCTGGTAGGAAGAAGAGGGCTTGAGTCTAAAAGCATATTCAGATCAAAGCCTAATGATTCAAAACCAACATTAAGAACCAAGTACGAGTATAATGATTGATAAGTGGGCATTGTGGCAACAGTAAAGTGGTGTTGACAGGACAGTTTAAGGCTGATGTAGGACAGAAGTTTGGATTTTTTGGTAATTAGTTTCATCCCACCAATCTTTCAACTAAAGTAGTATTGGACTGAAAAAAAAACAAACAAGCCACAACGGCTCAAAGCAAGGACCTTTCTGAAGAGTCGCTGGCTGCCCCCACCAGCAGAGGTGGGGTAGTAGATGTAGACGTTGTGGTCCTCAGCGCAGACAGGCTTCTCAACAAAGGGCTTTTGGAATATCTCTCCGTTCACCTCCACATGGTCTTCTCCTTCCACCAGGTTACACTCTGAGACACACACAGAAAATGTTTGCCAGTAAGACCCTATTTGTTACCCCTTAGAATATACACATATGACATTTGCCCCCCCGAGTGTTTACTCTTGAGCCCTGTGAAGCAGCTCTGCACTCTGAATCATGTGACGTTCGTCGGTCATTACTGTCAAGGAAGGCAGAGACATAAAACATCTGATCGCTCATCAGTCCAGGGACTGTCTCTACGTCACTGTGCATAAACAGGATCTGAATGACAGACCCATCGTATCAGCACTTAAGTATGGTACACTTGCAACTGCCTCACATTTGATACTATATTTATCCACAAGCTGAAATAAAACCAAAGCAGTCTTCAAATTAATGACCTCGGGATGCTGCATGGACAGGAGCTGTAGGGCTGCTCTTCTAAGAACCTTTTCATGAGGAATGATAAGCTTTAAGAATAGAATTAAAAGTGAAGTGAATATAGTCAGCTGCTTTTTATAGTGTTTGAGATGTTTACTGTGGCAAAGTTAAAAAAGATGTATGAATAAATAACTTATCAAATATGACTAATGAGCTGGCAGACTGACCATCTGGTTTATCTGGGTCACGGTTCAGCACAGCATAACGTGGTAGATCTATTCCTTCCTCCTGCAGGATGCGATACACCTCTCTCCTGTTAACAAAATAAGAGTTAAAAAAGTCAAATAACCAAGAAATAAATAAAATAAAAGGTTTGTTGTTGCATGCATGCTTTCAAACAATACTGGGAATATATAGTTAGGTCAGAGTACCTGTCCTGTATGTAGTACTGCATGTTCAGGTCATTGATGAGCAGAGGGTTTCTCAGTTTGGCGTAGCTCACTGCCTTATCCAGAGGGAATCCTGGTTTACATGCAGAGAAAGGATTAATAAATAAACCTAAAGGATGTTAACAGTTCAGAGTTACGGCTACTGAGACCTTGTTACCCCCAAATTCCACCAGGGCACAGTGTGTCTCGGCAGCTGGAGCTAATTTTGATGGAATTAATTAATTAAACACCACAAAAATCAATGTGTGTGTATTGTCACTTTGTCTGTGTGCATGTATGTGTCCGTACCCTTGGAGTGGAAGGAGATGAGGCAGTCACACAGAGGCCATTTGTCCACAGGCTCGTTGAGGATGACGTCCTCTGGGAAGATGACCACAGTGATGTACTCAAACCTGCACAGCCTCTCCAGGATCTGGGTCATTGGCTTAGACTTGGACTTCTTCATCATGCAGCAGATCCCCACCACGATCTGTTGCTCCGGGGGCTGAAAAAGGGAGAGGAGAGCGACATTTCAATGGCCTGTTTGATTGGGCAAGAGAGACAATGGCAGCTTTGTCCCATAAATCTCTCATAAACCTCATGCTGAAGAACTGACTGCTTTAAAATGGCTACACAAATTAACAGCTGAGATGGACTGCTGCTGAGTCTGCTCTTCTAGGGAACGGAGAGAAAGTCTTTGTAGTACCAACCATAGCCTTTAGAAGTTGTTTTGTACCAAATCTGGGTCTCGTTTGCAGCCCAAAGCAACCAATGCTAATGTTAACATGTGACTACGAGCCACACCTCACAGAACGTTTGCCATCTGCAGCAAAACTATTGATTGCTTACTAGATAACAGTCACATGAAAGTGTGTTACATGCACTTCAGGAACTGTGTCATCCCCACATCTACAATGTTACCATTCACTGATAATCTGACGCTCATTTTCTACCAAATGTCCTCCAGCTAGAGGCAACTGCTGAGTGAAGGAATAGCTCATAGTAACCAGATGCAGTTTGACATAAATCTCCCACCGAGTCTGTGTCTTCGTCGTCCTCATATAGCTCCATGTCTGTCCTCATGCTGTCTTCCAGGACCTCGCTCTCATCGTCCTCGCAGCCCACGAAGAATCTGGGAGCGCCACGCCGGCTCTCGCCCGGGCTGTTGGGCTCTGACATCACAGTCCCCCGCGGCAGCCCTCAGCGTCCCACCGCGCCATCGTACACCAACACACCGCCGCCGATGGGAGGGCGCGAGGCCTGGGGAGAGGGACGGGTCCACTCTGCCTGGGCTGGGCAGCAGAGCTGGAAGACGAAGGTGTGTGAGGCAGAGGAGCAGAATGAGACTGAATGAGCGGCGCTCAAACGTAAAAGGTTATGTGAGAAATGATGCCGCTGGTCAGTCCTCTGCGATGACGTCGTTACTCGAGTTTCTCATTCTTCATTCAGCAAATTCACATCTCGTATGGCTGGCTTGGGTTTCTCAAGAGTCTTTAGCAAACTTGGAAGCTGCAGCTCCAATTATCTGATGACAGTCCTTTCCTCCATTTATATGCAGGACTGACTGTAGGACTCTACAAGAGAAACAAAACATCAAACGTTATTTATGCAATTTTGCTTCATGGAGTGACAGTAGTTTGCATTGCCCCTGATACAAGTTACCGTCTTGCTGCACTCCACAATAGTCATTTTATAAAACAAAAAGTACACTCATCCATGTTTGTTTCCACATGTGCGTATGTTGGGGCATTTCTAAAATTATTGTTGGTTTTGAAAGTAGAATAAATGTTGGTAAGATATGGAACATTTTAAGGTTTGGATCTAGTTTGAATGAAAAGATGAGTTAAAAAATTATACAAATGATTCAGAGCAGTTGGAAAAGTGGGCAGGGGATGAAGGGTGCAAAATACAGTGTAAGCTTGGAGCTGAACTCTACTGCTTGAATTAAGGAAGTCCAGATTTAATCTCAAAGATCGGTATCAGGCCGATCAAGGAATATCTTAACTCATGGGTAATGGCATTAATGGAGTCAGACTGAGTCCAGTCCTGTGTGTTACGTCAGCTGTAACAGGTGTTTTTACTTGCAAAGCTTTCATGCAGCGCAGCCGTCGTCACCTCTACTCTGCTGAGCTGTGTGCAGGGATTAAGGCCCGCCTGCAGCAAAACACCATGGGTCCAGACAAATCTCACACACACAAGCCAAGCCCATTTTGCTAGCTGTAGTTGCTCAAATGCTGTGGGCACAGAGGAGCCCTGTCCAACGCCTTGTGCTATTGCAACCACATTTGGTGGTCTTGTATCATGATTTAGTGCCATTTGGCCAATAGGTGGCACTGTAGCAGCATCGTGTAACCATAAAGGAAATCTGTCTGTATGCATGTATGGATGGATGGCTTATCTTGAAAACCATTCGCCTGACTTACTTCACACTTGCCGGGTGTATTGCTGAGGGTCTACCTCGGCGGACACAACCCCAATCTATGCAGCAACGCCAAGCGATCGGCCTGTTCCGAACCGCCACGAGCTGGATTTCAATCTAAATGGACAAATCCGTTTCAGCGCTCGTCTTTGAACGAGGGCGTCGGACTGTTTCTTCCTAACACAGTCTCATTATGCTAAGCTGTGTGGATAATTTGGGTCTTTCAACTGCACAGTAAAAAAAGATCACAACGTCTGGCACTGCAAATTCCAGCCAATACAGCGGCACTTTCAGCAGAAACGGCCGTGTGTTTTAAGCAATAATTACTTGCACTTACTGTACTGTTACACGTTTAACCCTGACACTGCAGTCTGCATTTCCATCACCACTAAACATTAGCCAGTCACGGAGACAGGACAGGCAGCGGACCGCATGTCTTACTGTAGACAAACCACAACTACTCATTACTCTCTGGCACGCTATAAGACACCCATCTGAACAACAAACCAATTCACCATCAGGCACAGTCACTTAAGGGTCAAGCCTGACTTATTTGAGGTGGAAAACACTGTTATTAGCATGCAGCCCCAGAAGGGGTCCCAATGAGATAATAAACAAACACATTACTGTCCAAATCCTTGGGGATCTCCAACTGAGGGAACACAAATAAAACTGCAACCTCTCCAGAATTTGCTTGTTTAGTTGAAGGTCCTCTGCAAAGCATTTAACATTCACCACTTCTGGTTTTCAATGGCAGTAAATTATTCTTATCAAAATATACGCACTTGGGAACTTTGTAAAAGTGACGATTCATTAAGAAGTAAACATTAAGCGTCAGTTCAAAGGAAGCCTTGTGTGACTGCGGGAGGGTTTAATCCTACGGCTGTCTTTCCACCAACTTAATGCTCTTGGGAAAGTGACACTGAAAAACAGTGATGAAGTAGACAGTAACAGCTGCATCTGATAAAAGTGTTTGTGAGGACGGTATCTTTACATTGAAACATTTACTGTAGTGCCTTGGCATTTACGGGCCAAGGAATAAGAAAAAGAACGGGGTCACTCCGGTCAAGTCTGCGGCTGTTAAGCATAACTACAATATAAATGTTTAACTGCCGCCCCGGTAGACACATACAGAAATTCATTCTTACTCCCATTTTGGCCCCGAGTTGATTTAAAATAAACTCTTTCCATGCCCAAGTGGATTAGTGTTTCAGAGCTTGAGCATAACAGTTAATCTCTTCTATTACACCTGCTTACTCAGGCTACGAGCAAGGCCATGGCTCGCTCTGAGCACACGGAGGTCATGTCCTCTTTAGTTTTTTTATGGGACTTTGGGGGTGTAAGCGACCCGGGGTGCAGTTTACATTCTACAGTTTCATGCTACGCAAGGCTGTAGTGGGGCAGAAATCCTTGTACCCCCATTATTTAAACTTGTTTCACGTTGTTTTAACCTCGATCGAAATACATGTTTGACACAGTCCAGTTGCGTTTGAAAGGGAAAATGAAAAACTGAACTGAAAAAAAGAAAAACGCAGCAAATCTTTACATCTGAGAAGCTGGAACGAGAGAATGTTTTAAGTTATTTGCAAACCAGTTTCCGTCTTTGTCCTTAGACGAGTCCATTAATCAACTAATTGTTGCAGCTCTTAAACCAAAAAGTTGGAAAGAAGCATGTTTATTTTCCTAAAAGCTGACAACCAACTTCAATTCATAAGCAGAAGTTAAGTGAAGTTCAACAATAAGACAGAGCCAAAGTAACATGAACTCTAGTCCAGCGTCTTCTCTTCCCTGACCTCTCCCTTCATCTCGTACATGTAATCACAGCCCGAGTTTCCGAATCTCTATTGCACCACTTTCCATTCATAAACGTGCCCTTTTCCTTCATTTCTGCTTTTTTTCTTGTTTCACAAACTCCCACCTCTACCCAACCTTGAACCAGCTGACTCAGGACTGTTTGCTGGGGCAGGCTCAGACGCCTCCTGCAGAGCGCTGTGCCAGGATCTGCTCCAGTCTGGGCACTGGAGCCTGACTCTGCGTCACAACTAGTTTCATCTCACTAACTGTAGACACAGTCTTGTGTACTTGGAAAAAATGCACTAAGAAGGTTTCATATATGATTTATCTGACAGTTGGGGCTTCCACGATGTCACCTAACCAGACTGGCAGAGTGAAGCAGGTGTGTGGGCGGTATTTTATTGCGTAAACTTGAATTCAAATAGCCACGTGCCTTTAGTGATGTGCATCTCATCCTTACTTCTTTTTTAAAGGCTGATAACAATCATTTCTGTCTTTACATTTGATTTGAACAAGAAATAAAGGATTTAATTAATCAATTAAGGGTGTGATATTGTACCGGACTATTTGATTTTGGGATCGACTCTCAAAAACACATCGGTCTTTGTGTTTAAACCCCCGACCATCAGATAGCAGTGTTGTAAACTAAGTGCAATGATGTCTCATGTTATAGAAACTGTGATGTTTTTAAACTGTTTATTTCATGCACATGGGAGTTTTCCTTAAAAAAAAAAAAATTTTTTTTTTAAATTGCATGTATTACAGTATACTGAATCATAACCCCTGTATTGTAATACTTATTGTGTATCGCCATATTCTTGCCAATGCACAACCCGATAATTTTGATGTATAAAATGTGAAAAACATCCATTACAATTTCTTTAAGCTCACATTACTTCCTCAAAAACAGTCCAACACTACATGTTTACTATCAAAGTGGACAAAGGGGAAGTAGAAAACACAATTATTAATAGATTAAAAGATTAAAAACAGGGCCATCAACTAATCATTTCAGCTCTAAGTTACTAGATCATGTCTGTTGTCCATTCACAGAGAGAGAAGAAGGGGGAGGTTTGGACTAATGACCTCAGTATTTTCTAGGCTTTGGAGCTGGTTACCAGGCCAGCAATGCAGTCTGCACACTCTTAACATCTCCACGACTTCTGAAAAATAAAAAACTACAGCTTCGACAGACTCTGGATGGACTTTAAAAAAAAAAAACTACAAAAAAACACATTTACTTGGGAGAAAAAACAACAAACACACGCTGGCTGCACCTGATGTTCCTGGAGGAGGTCCTGACAGATTTAGCTGTATGAATTTAAGACACTAAAAATAATGTTACAGTAATGAAGCAGGCTATAGTTACTCTGTACCACACACTGATGCTATGGTTACATATTCACAGCAACAAGTTCTGTGCAACTGCACAGAAAATGGATGTTAGAAAACGGAGACGGAAGATAATAAAATAAGAAAACTAAAACGGTGATATTAGCACGTTAAAACGATCTTTTTGTATGGCTCAGCACAGTCGGTGGAGCTTTAACAACATGATTTGACGCAGAAATGAAATGGTCGATAGCGGTCGTTGATTTTAGCACATTAGAGCTACAGTTAGCCTGTGTTAGCAGCCAGGCTAGAGCCCGGCTCGGTTCGGCATTGTAAACAACTCCTGCGGGGCCTTTCGGCTCTGCGTCTGAAGCGAAATCACGTTTAAGACGGGGAAGAGCGTCGATATTATTTCTAAACGTAACAGGCGTGAAGCTGAATCGTGAACTCACAGTGCTGCTGGGGGGTTTGCATCGCTGCCATCGGCTCTTCCTCTCCTCCTGACAGTTTGCATGTGAAACCAATCTTATTTTTTTTTTTTTTTCTTGCAGTTTGACGCACGGATGGCCAAAGTCTGAACCGACCAATGGGGAAGCAGAAAGCAGAAGAAAAAAAACACACGGACCAATCAGCGACGAGCAAAGTGGAAAAACAGAATTCTGGAAGAGCGGAGCGTCAGCGGCCCCTAGCGGTCAAAGGTCACCGTGGTCAGCTGCTCATAGTAACAGACAGGTTACCAATCTGCTGCTTAATGAGTACTTTAATTATTAACATGCTTTAGATACTAGAAGTACATTTTCTTTTACTAGCAAATATTTTGCATTCAGTTATTATTGTACATTAATAATATATATATGCTGTTACACGTTGTAGTTTTATGCCTACATTTGTATCTGAAGCAGCTGGGGTTTTTTGTTGTTGTTTTTACTTAAAACCTATTATTATTGTTGTTGTTGTTGTTGTGGTTGTTAATAGTAGTAGCAGTAAAGTAGTGGTAAAACACCTTATGCCTTATAGTGTATATAAATATATACACTATTGCATATAGTGTATATATTTTTCATTATAGTCTCATATTTTCTATTATATTTTATAATACTCTTATTTTGTGATTCTTTATTGTACTCTTTGCACTCCATTCCCCTGTGCTGCTGTGTCTGATTTAAATTTCTACTACAGGGGATCAATAAAGGAACATCTTATCTTATCTTATCTTACCTTATCTTATTTTAAAAATATAATCAGTATTGGTGATGCAACATCTCAGATTTCACAATATTACAATTACGATAAACAAAATAACATAACTTCTTCCATGACACATTACTTTGCAGATAAGAATGAATATTGTCTCCATAAAGCTAAACAAAGACAATCTGCCACAAAAAAAAACCCTTTCCTAAAACAGCACAAGGTTTATAATCATCCAAACAGAAGAGATGTACGAGCTCTTTGGTTGTTTGAACTGGCCCAGGTCTTTGAAGTTTAGATCTTGAATAATAATCTAAA